TACATTCAATTATTATATATATAGATTACAGTTTACACATAGAAATATGATTTAATAAAAAGTAAAATATAACAGAAATTTGTTTTATGATTTGTGCCTATATAAAACACAAATATTTTCAATATATAAAATATACAACAATACATGCAATTATTATAGATCACATTTTATACATAGAAATATAATACAATAAAAAATAAAATATAATAAAAAAATTTTTTATTATGATATAATTAAAAAAAGAAAGTAATAGTATAATATCTTTTTCAAAGTCATTTTTGTACTCATTTCTTTTAAGATTGAGATTCATTCATACACACACAAAGGGTTCAAAGAATTTTAGTTTAAATATTAATTTTAATTTTTGTAAAAATAAAAATTAATTTTAAATTCGACAACTTTATCAAGTCTCAATACTATCTGTCAAATATATAAATATATAAATAATACCTCCTAAGATAAAATCCTAATTATAAAATGAATACGTCAGAGGTTAGATCAGGTTAGATTCACAACATGTGCATCCTCGTATTTGGACATAAAATCATAGAATGCGCTCTGATCGCGACAATTTTTCGCGCATGCGTGACAGAAAAACAGGAATGTATGATGTTAAAAACATATAGGCGCAAAAATCTTGAAGTCAGATTAAATAAAGTTATAATAAATAATTAAATATATATATATGTTTTGTTTTAATTAATATGTATTATGTAATCAAAAATTTAAATAGAAAATTAATTTAAACATTTTTAAAAATTCTTTACGGGCGATCGATGAACTTTGATAAATGATGACAGATAGATAAAAATCTAGAATTAAAAGTAAATATATATATATGTTTTGTTATAATTATAATATTTATTGTCTGGTTAAAAATTTTTAAATGGATAATAAATTTAACGTGTATTACATAAAAAGAATTTTTTTACAATAAGCAACCCAAATATAGCAAAATGACGTCATTAAATGTTAAAATGACGTCATTTTGACGCCTAATGACGTCAGTTTGCTACTATTGAAATATTAATTGTTTAGTAAAAAATATAAATAGGAAATTAAGGGTCGGCAGGCGACATGGTGGAGACGCCTATCGGCCGGCCGGGAATTACGGATTCTTATTTTCCAGATATTAGCGAAAATATTGAATGAATCTTATTAAATTTAGGATATTCTTAATCAGTAAGCTCATTTGTAGTCCTCTAAAGAGCTATTTTATGAAAAAAAGATAAAAATAAAAATTTTTAATAAACTTGGGGGAATGCACAGCTAGGAACGGGTAAGGTTGGGTTAGCCGCGAGTCCGTATTTTATTTATTATAAATTTTTAAGAGCGAAAATGTAAAATCCGGCCTTTTAGAGGACTGCTTTATTATATAAAGAATATATTAAAAAAAAATTCACGAAGTTATGTCACTTATTTTATGAAATATCTGGACGATAAGATTCTCACTAGATTCATAAGGAGCAGGGGAAATTTCTGTGGTAACATGCTGACTGCTTGACAAGGAGAGAGCATCATTCCATCTTTGTCTCTCTTACATCGCATATGTAGTAGCGTCCATGTAGGTACAAACACTAATACGTGAGCACACGGATGCAAATATTGAGAGATAATGTCAGCAAAAAGGCTATCATATTATTTTTATTTTTTTGTATATGTATGCATATGTAAATAAAGAACAAAAATAAAAACTATTTTAAGATGACATTTTATAATTAATTTTCTATATGTATTTGCATTTTATTAATATGTATTACATTTTTGATATGTTTTTAATTTATAATTTATATAAACATAAGTATGAAATAAAAATTGAAATAGTTCTGAAAATAAGTATATTAATGATAAAATTATTCAAAACAATAAAAAAATTAAATTTAATATTTTTTAGTGTTTGTACCTACATGGACGCTACTACATATGCGATGTAAGAGAGACAAAGATGGAATGATGCTCTCTCCTTGTCAAGCAGTATTAAAAGCCATATTAAAAGCTCTAGCTTCATTCAATTAATAATCCAATATAATAATCAACAATTATTTTTATATAATATATAGTATTTTTAAATATTTTTAAATATTTAAAAATATTTTTTTTAAGATTAATTGAGGAAAAGAATATTTTAAATATAAAAAAATATTTTAAATATTCTTTTTCAATTAATTTTTAAAACAAATTTTTAAAAATATTTTTATATATTCAAATATTTATTATATTATATAAAAATTATTGTGAATTATACTCATTGGAGTAATAATTATTGATTGAAGCTTGTTATGGCACAAACTGAACATCTTGTACATTGTCTGTATAATATTTTACTTATTTATAAAATGTTTTTTATAAATAAATGAAATATTATATATATATAATATATAAGATTATAATATATAAGATTATTGATGTTACATTGTATAACTCTCATTTCTTTCTCTCTGCTACATAAGTACTTATGACGTGAAAGAACTTACGAGTAACGTATGATGGCTCAATGCAAGAATATTTAATCACGTAAAAAACTTGAGTTCAAATATATCAATATCAATTTTTTTATAATATATTGGAATATAGAAAATCATAGAAATATATTTTTTATATAGGCGATAAACTTAAAAATTTGATATTGAAAATATTTTAATCATTTTACAACTACACATACTATAAATATATAAATGCAAAATAATTCCGTAAATAAATTTCAAGTAATAAATCAATTGCACACATGCACACAGCTGGTATGTAGATTTTTATTAAATTTATTTTCTGAATTATTTTACACTTATATATAGTGTATGTAGTAAAAATATTTTCAATATATTAAAAAATTTTTAAATCGCCGAAATATATTTTTTTATCATTTTTCTATATTCTAATATATATATATATATATTATAAAAAAATTGATATTGATATATTTGAACTCTAATTTATATACTGGATGATATACTGAACATCCTTGCATTGATTATACATTACTCAACGTTCTTTCACGTTATAAGTATTTGGAGCAAATTATACAATAGCATCAATAATCAAAAAGAAATCAAGAATATAATCAACATATCCCTTATATAATATATATATATATATATATATATATATATATATATATGTTATATATATACGTTATGCACATATGTGCATAACCATATATACTTCCAAAAAGTGGGTGCTTATTAGTCTTGCTACGTTACTGCTTTCTGCTACGGAAGGCCAGAAAGCATTTTCAGGCGGCATCTCGCGTATACCGGCACGGTAGATGAACAAGGAGAACACGTGATTATCGGTCCTTGTCTCTCTTACGTGCGTCCGCGTGAGCGATGCAGTTGGTGTATGTACGTGTACAGACATACACCACTACATAAAACCCGAGAATTGGTTTCTCGGCGTTGGCAACACTGAAACCGGAGTTTCGCGTTGTCACCGCACGAGGTCTCCAATATCAATTCGGAGTTTGCCTGGGTGTACTGCCGACCCTTAATATACAAATTTTTTAAATATGTTAAAAAGGGCGATAATTGCGCCCGTATGACGTTTGACGTTTGACGTTTGCGCATGCGCAAACCGTCCGCCCGGTGCGCTTCGAACGCTGTTAACTGTCAATGACATATCATATAGGCGCTGGAAAAATTGCGTTCGCTACCATAGAAAATAGAATTAATTGTGTATTTCCATTTATTTCGTTCAAATATCTTATTTTTCCTCTTTTCCGAAATTATACGTTATAAACACCCTGACGTTTGATCAACACGTGAATCTTAATCCACCTCCCGTCCTGTGGAAGGGGTTATGCCGGGTAGATTTTCACGCGTTTGTAGAAACGAAAGAGAGAATGGACGAGGCAGTCGCTACACCGCCTACATTTAAACGAAATTTCTTCGAGCGAATCTACTGCGTGGAATTGTCACCGTACGAATGGTCGCAGCACTTGATCTGTATCGCCCTCGCCAAGGAAATTGTCGTCGCTACAGTTAGATTTCAGGTTCGCGATGCACATATTTTTTTCGTATTTTGCGATTTAATTATTTTATTTCGTGATTTTTCGCCAGGTTCTGTCAAATTGCCGACTCGCGAGTTAAATATATATGTCAAGAAAAATATTTTTGTTGTAAAAAAGTATACATAATAATTGCAATATCATACAATAACGTTAATAGAATTCCTTCTTTCAAGAAAAGTTTATAATATATGTAAATATATAAATAATATATATTATTACATTATTAATACAAATATATAAATATATATAGATATATTAATAATATATATATAAATAATATATATATAAATAATATATATAAATAATATATATAAATATATACATTTTTAGGATGAAGATGACGCAGTGGAGGACATGGCGTACAATCCTATCAAGACGTTCCACCACGATACCAGACCTCACGCAGTTGCATGGAGTCCGGAAACCTCCTTGAGTGTTGTCCCTAAAATTCTGACATTTTGTGTCGCTGGTGCAGATTTTAAAATAAGATTGTACAATAGTAATTTGAATGACGTTAATGTGTATGAGGTAAGAATACTTGTGGAATTGTATTGATTTATACCTTTGCGAAATTGAATGTGACAATAAATGAATTTTGAAGATTTTAGAAGGGCACAAAGATTACACGAATGCAATTTCTTATGAACCAGAGGGTGAATTACTAGCATCGGTTTCCGACGATCATACGTGTAAATTATGGGCGATTAAAGAGGATCAGAAGTGTGTGTCTACATTTTTCTTAACGTCGCCTGGTAGCAGTGTATGTTGGCACAGCGAAGAATCTGGCAAGCTTTTAGTAGCAGAGAAGAATGGCTTGATACGTATGTATAATGTCAGAAGTCAGCAAGCGATTATGTCTCTCGATTCTGGGGCTGTTCCCTTGATTGCGGCAGATTGGGCATCGAATCCTTTAAAAGTTGTATCGATGGCTGCCGGAGAATTATTACTCTGGGATGTATCCAGACCGAGGTAATAAAAAATTTTATTTGAAAACTATACAGGGTTCAGAATATTATTTTGCAAAAGTATTTAGTCAGAGTTAGTTTTTTTTTTCACTGAAAAAGGACCTAGTTGCAGTTAACAGTTACCGATTTTGAAAAATAACATGTTACAGTTATAATAACTTAAAAAGTTACGAATCGTTCATTTTTAGTTATTTTTTTGCAATAACTATATTATATTTTAAATATAATAATCTTATTTCAAACTTAAATATAATAATCGTATTTCAAACTTTACTAAACTATTACATATTTGATTATGTGCTATATTATTTTATAAGCAATAAATTACAACTGTTTTAAATTTAAAAAATAAAAATATATTTAATATATTAAATTAATAATTTGTAATAAATTGCTTCTAACACAACAATTAATATTATTTACTTAAAATAAAAATTATGGGATTTAGATTATTCAGTTAAAAAATTCATAAAATATTAGACAGTCGTAACTTTCTGAAAAATTAGACAGTCGTAACATTCTGAAAAATTGTTAGTCCTAATTTTAAACAAACTAACTATTAAAACGTAACTATTAAATTAGTTACTAGTTACCAAAAAAATGCAACTAAGTTAAGTTACAGTTATAGATGCAGAAAAAGAAACAAAGTTAAGTTATAATTACCAAAAGAAATATCTGTAAATGTAACTTTGTTACAAGTAACTAGTTACTTCTCCTGTTTTATTATATGCATTTATTGAATTAATTTTATTCTCGTTTTTAATTTTAGCCGGCCCCTTGATGAACGGACGCTTCATCTGGAAGGTGGTTTAGCGGTGAAATTCTCTCACGCGAATGAGAATCTGGTAGCGAGTATTGGTTGGCCAGATAACTTGTTGAAAGTTTTCAATTTCAAAACCAAACAAGTGATATTGTGCGGGAAAGTCAAGTTAGTTGGCGGTATGACATGGCACTACAAATTGCCTTATGTCTGTGCTGGAAGTGATAGAGAACTATTTTTTTGGAGAGTAAATGTAAATTAAGATACATTAAACAGTTTTATACATAAAAAAGAAATTTTTTCAATTCTTTAAAATAAATATTTAAAAGCCGCTGCCATATACGATAACATTATATCATTATATAATATTGTATTAGTTATATATAATTTCTTTTATATTATATACTCTAGTATTTCTCTACATTCATTATTTTGGAAAAAATCATGACTTATATTACATCTGTAACAGAATTAATTAACATTTGCTAAGATAAAATTTTTTATGTAATAAAAAATAAATGTATTTTTATAAAATGTACTTATAAGATTTCTTACATCTATAATATCAACGAATTAAACTTTGAATATTATATATTAACAAATATAATTCTGAACGTTATATTTTTTTGATTAGATTTTTCAAAATGCTTTATAAAATACAAAATTTCTTTTGTAAAGTTAATATATTTAGAAATATGATTATACAAAATTGTAACATCAACAAAAACATTAGAAAATGATTGCTATGATGAAAGTTGTTTAAAAAAATATTAATAAAATATCTATTTTTTATATAAGCATATAATAAAGATTTCTCGTATTAGTATTCTTACTATCAGTTTGCTATACTAACAATAATTTGCTATCATAATTAAATTTGATAATAAAACTAAGTTTGATTTATGAGTCGACACAATCACTCTTTTACTTGTAACTTTTTATTGTATTAACAAATCTGCTTATAAATACTAAATTGGGTGTCCGGTAAGAGTTGCCTCAACCGTCGTGTGCAGGTAGAGTAAGTTAAACCGAATAGGAAAGTTCTCTACCGTTTTGCGATTTTCGCAATAATTATTGAGTTATTAAATAAAAAAGATCGGCCAATCCACGTGAATAGAAGCGCGCGACGAGAAGAGACGTCTTACTGTAACACGATACACGGCGCGCCGCAAAGCGGAAGGAGGAGCGAACGATGACTGTCTACGAATTGTATTCGAGAAATCTTCGTGTATCGTGTTACAGTAAGACGTCTCTTCTCGTCGCGCGCTTCTATTCGCGTGGATTGGCCGATCTTTTTTATTTAATACCTCAATAATTATTGCGAAAATCGCAAAACGGTAGAGGACTTTCTTATTCGGTTTAACTTACTCTACCTGCACACGACGGTTGAGGCAACTCTTACCGGACACCCTATATATATATATATATATATATATATATATATATATATATATATATATATACTTCTCACATTTCTTTTCGGAAGCGTATTTGCTCTGTTCATACGCTTACAATTATTTTGACAGCTTTCACTTACTACTAAAAATCCTAACTTACTACTAAAAATTTATCCAAAATATTTAAATATCCGCCCTATATTATAAAATAGTATTTGATTATTACTCTAGATGAATTAGCACGTTACAGGAAATCATTATGTAATAGGAGTAGAAAAAAGGTGTGTTAGCGCTATACATATCGTATATACAATATTTATATATAATAATAATTATTTACAACATTTACAAAATTGGAGATGTCTTGTATAATAATGACAAGAGTAGATACATAGACACAAGATAATCTTTTGTATCTTAACTGTCAATATAAACTGAAAAAATAGTTTTTAACTCTGATTAACAAGGTTTCAATGTTTTCTAAACATTTTTTTTTATTTGACATTATGTGTATAAATAACTTATGTATATCGAAGATATCAAAATTTCCCTTTAATACCTATTCTTTTAACTTATATAGATATCAAAAGAAATTGAAACTTCCCATACAGCACCGATAGATTGCAAAAATATTACAACAATCTTTCACTGCAATATTGCAATATTGCAAATTCACTGCAAAATGTTGCTACATCATTGCTGTTGAATTGCAGCAATGTTAAAATGTCCGCTTTTTGGAAGATTGCAACAAAATATTACAAGAATATTGCAATATGTTATGAGTTTGCAATAATGCATTGTTATTGCAACCATAAACTAATGTTGCATATACAGATATATAAATGTAAATAAATCATTAATGAAAATACGTTGTAGTTAATTTATATATATTACAATATATAAATTATAGAATTTGGATTACATGCAATATTTCCGAAATATTAATGTCATGTTGCTACAAGTGTGCTGGAATTTTGTGCACTTATATCTCTGCAATGTCATTATAATGTTGCATTGCAACTTGCAACATTGCAACGTTGCTGCAATATAATTGCAATAATCTGTGCTGTATGGGTTTGTAGAAAAGAGAAAATTATATTAGTGAAACAATAATTTATATATATATATATATATATATAATATCTTATTATATTGAAAAATTAATAATTTTCTAATAATTATTATTTAATTTTAATATAATATTTATGTATAATATTACTCTAAGAATGTCCAGTTAAAAATTAACGATAATATTCTAATTGATTTGTACATTTATCTACATTCTTAAAGGCCTATATATAGGAAAAAATAAACAAATTAATATAAGACTATCAAGACCTCGCGCAGTAAAAAAGGCGCAAACAATATTATCGTTTATTGTATATGTTAGTATTTAAATTATATATTTTTTGACATTAAATATGTACTTATATACGTTTCGGCCTTTTGTTTAAATATTTTTAGAGAAAGAGAACATTGTGTTTCTTCTTTTCGATCTTTGTGTTTCTCGGTCACAAGAAAATTATATGATGAGAAAAAGTATAACAGTCTTTTTGACAGTCTATGTATTTACAATTTAGAAAGTGGATACTGTGTGAAAATCTCTACTAGTGTACATATAAAATTTGCATTTGTACTCTCTACAATCGATATACGCGTAAGAACAGCATCGCATAATATAGATTTTACATATAATTTTTAAACAGGGAATTATACGAAAATAATGCATCATCATTCTTAGTTACGACGTTTGAAGTATTGAATTTATTATCAGCTTTAACTGCACTTGCGAATAATTCTGATGGACAATCGAATCCAAGAAGTTTTGGCAAAGAAAATTTTTGCAGAGGTAACTGCTTGTGTATTAATGATATTGTAATTAAATTTTTTATAATTAACCTATTGCTTAATGGAACATTTTAAAAAATATATCTTTTAAAAATAAAATAAATATAAAGTAAAAGTTATATTCTAATAAAACGAAAACAGATAAAAAATGAATTTAATATACATTACAAAGACGGCTACAAATTAATTCCATTTGATTAATATAATTTAATTCAATTTAATTGATTTCTTTTCATTAAAAGTTAAAGAAAATTATGTTGAAAATAAATTTGTCCTGTTTTATTGCCGACTGGACGAAATCTTTTTGATTCGTTTTTACACATAACAATAATAAATAAATATATTATGAATATAAATACAATAAATATAATGTATGTATATTATAAAAGAAAAATAAAGAAAAATAAACTTTTAAAAAATACATATAATTAGCATGTTTGTTTCGTTAACTTTATTATTTCATTTTCTATCGCCTAAATCCGGCATATATATATATATATATATATATATATATACATATATATATATATATATAAATATTATAAATATTACCAAATAAATAATGTATTATTTATATGATTACAATGTCACGCGTCAAATCACAAATGACATTTTAGTTAATACTTTGTATTTTTAAAGATTTTTTATTTTGAAATTTATTAACAATATAACAGCCCTGTTTAATGTAATTTTCAAAAGTTTATTAAAATATTTCTTGTTCCAATTTTAGATAGTCTTATGCAAAGAAGTTTTATGAACAGGAAGTTGATAAACAAGAGAAATCTGAAATGAATAAACAGAAAAATCTTCCAAACTATATAAAAATAGGAAATGCATATGCGAGACTTATAAAAAATACTGTATCTGAAATAATCGAAAAACATTATTCTATCAATAATTCCATAAATAATAAAACGGGTTTTACAGTAGTATTTAATTTTCAAAAAATTATAAATAAAATAAATAGTTTCGTTAATGATATTGTGAAGTTTAATTATATCTGTGATGAAATTAGAGCTTTGCTTTACATATCTCCCAGGTAAGATTTAATATAAATTATAAAATAATTATGAATATCATAGAATAATGTGAATATATAACTGTTTTAGAATAACTAATTACGATCTTACGGAAAGATATTGCATCGAGAAAATATTACGCTATGTGAGGCAACGTTCGGTAAAAGAGAAGTGGAAGAAATTTAAACAACAATCCAAGCACACCATTATAATCGAGCAGACTGCTACTTTTGTAGCCAAATGGCTTCAACCGGAAAAGGAAGTATCTTGCTCGTACATTAAATCATCATTAAATACCATCGCACAAGATGTATTGAGTCGCCTAAAACAAAAACATCCTAATCATAAAATATTCTCCGAAAACGCTACACACAAATTTAGCTATACATCGTATATTGACAAAAATATCTACGATAATTTTTGGAACCTAGAGGAATCAACTCAGATTTTGGATATACTCGAAGAACACATGTTTAGAGAATTAAACTTTCGACCAAGCGAATCGAACGTCAAAAAATTGGAATATAGTTGTATAGATAATGTAAGTTTATTATAAATAATAATATATAATATAATTATTGCCAATTATATATTGTGAACATATCCATATATGTGTGTTTAAATAATTAATAAATTAATTAACAAATAAAATAAATAATTATAATTAATATAATATTAATGATAATTAATAATGAAATATTAATTTTTGAATAAATTTAAGTTATTTATATTAAAAATACATCTTTTTTTTCTATCTCTAATTATTTTCCGTATTATAATTTCCATAACAGGTCTTAAAAATAAATATGGCCATAAAATTATTTTATTAATAATATATCAAAGTGTAGCCAGAAGACTTGGTGTACGATGCGATATAAGAAAATATCAGGAACGTACATTTATATTTTGGAAACGTAAATATATGTAAGTATAATGGATTATGAATTATTTAAATTTTTCGTTATATTTTTACTTTTATACACAGACACATGTTGTACATACATGTATGTATAACTTCATTGTTTTTAGGCTAGAGAGCAACTTAGAAAATGCAATGTTCATTATTAACATATGTGATAAATCCTCGGGTTGTCTTAACAAGCAACAGTGTGATTCAGAACCATCTGAAATAATAACAGCTAAAGAGGTTGGCAATTACTTATATTTAATTTATATTAATTTTAACACTCTTAATTATTAATACATTTGTAACCTCGGTAAAAATAGGAGTTATTGAAACACACTTTATAAGTAAAAAGAATATACATTTCTCAATTTTTCTTTCATAATCATAGCTTTGTTCATAGGTATTATAATTTCTTTCATCTTTCAGTTACTACTAGAAATCCTGCAAACATTTGAGGATCCGCCCTTTTATAATAATTCTTTGATGATTGTGCCATATGAAGTATTACGTTATAGAAAATCATTAAATTCCTCGATTGACCAAAGTAATAACCATGTAAGATAACACATGTTAATATATAATAACGATAAATATAAACTTTTTAGTAGTATTTTCTTTCATATAACACATCCAATTATGTACAATAAATCATAATTATCTATAATTCAATTAATTTAACTTGCTATATAAAAATACATTTAGAAGTTACTTAAAAACAAATATTATTTAAAGTTTAATATTATACATATTTTCCAGGATATAATATTTCATCCTTCTGTTATGGAAAAAAGGATAGATCAAAGACCTAATAAATATGCAGTTGGAATGATCGTAACACATAATGAATATGAAGATGAGTGTAATGATATTAAAAATGAACATAAAAAAAATATTGCAGGTGTAATAATCGGATGGTACATAAACGGCCACAAAATTAGGTTAACCGGAAACAAAGTATGGCAATCTCGTATGCGTTTCAATATTTGTTGTAATTTTGGGATCCAAATGATCTAACACATTATGTAATTCTTACGGAAAAGAATGAAATGTGTTGCGTAAATGAAGGTATGGATATCAATTAAATATATTGATTTAAAATTACATTTGTATAGTATTCGCGTCATCTCTTTTACACAATATAAAAAGATTGTTTTATTTACTATATTTATTCTTTTATTATAGTTATTTTATTTATTTTAGTTATTATATCTTATTTATTATATTTCTAATGTTTCATTAATTATTCTTAGTCATTGATTTTTTTACGTTTTTTTTAAATTTAGGCGCTCTGACTTTAACATCTAAATGGATCGAAAACAGCGAAATAGGTCGATATTTTTGTAAATTCAAAGACACGCATTACGTGCCAAATAAAATGATGGAAAAACTTTATCCGCACAATGTCGCTATAATTAGCGAAAGAAACAATATATAAAATATAGTAAAAAATTGATTACTTATGTATAAGTGCAAACACAGTAATTAAAGCGCATATATTTTTTGGTAAATTATTGCATATGTAATGTTATATCAAAAAGAAAAGCGTACATTTCCGGTCTTTTTTTTTTGAGGGGAGGGTCGTTTTTAATGCAATTAAATGAGTAAATGTTACAAAATAATATAAAAATAAAATTACTTATTAGTTATAAATGTAAATTCGGACTGAATCCTCTTATATAATCTGAATAGTGTAAAAATGTTTAAATGCTGAATTAAAAATATAACATGTATTTTCAAGCTGTATTACATCCCTATATACGAAACGTATAACTTACAAATCGATCAAACAATCACAAACATCTAATAGTATAAATTACATTATTAAAATATGGAATATACAAATTTTTATCAAATTATACTGAATTATAAAAAAACTATACAATTATTTTATATAATATTTTTGAATATCTTATTACATAAAGAATACTGTATACAATATCAGAAAAATTCTTAAATTGCAAAATAATATAATCTGTATGGCTGTATAATTATTTAATTATGTTGTAAATAAATATTTATTAAAGTATTATTTTTTTTAAGTATTATATAAGTATTTTATAAGTTTTTAGAATTTTTTATATAAGAATTTTTAATAGTTTGTGTTTACTATAGTATTTATAAGTAAAAAAAGTTGTTATATGTAAATATCTGAAATCTAGAGATTTGCATAAATTAAAATTGTAATACTATAAACATAAATTATTATATAAATAAATCGCTAAGTCAAAATATTTTAGCATTTAAATTTTATAGCTTCATACCACTATGAAAGAGCAGACTAAAGCTATTCGTTAATTAATATATATATTTTTTAATGTCTTAATATTTTATTTCAAGCTGTCACATTTTGTAATATTTGAAACAATTAGAATCAATTAAAAAGCAACAATTAGAAACTTAACTGAATAAAGGCATATATGTTCAGCGACATATCGAGATCTCTATATCAAGTTCACTAATAAATAAATCTGATAACGTTTAAGTATTTGTATCTTTTATTAAATAAAAAAAAGAACCAGGCCTTAAAATTATTAATTTTAATTTTAATATTGATGGTTTACTCTTGCTTGAAAGTAACAATATTGTAAAATAGTTTTATTAGTGGAAAAGGAAGAACTAGTGTTGTTAATTTCTGCTCTGAAAAATTTATCATTATATATATATATATATATATATATATTTTTTTTTAACATTATATAAGAAATTTAATATAAAAATATATACAATAAAAAATGTACAGAATTTGTAATTAATCTTTAGCTATACCTGACAGGGACTAAAAGTGCTACCCTGCACACTTTTTAAACTGATAACCTTTTTCCACAAAGAGGCGGTTCCGGATAAGATAAAATTCTTTTCGGTTTTCCAAGTCCAAATAAAAATATAAAAATATAAAAATATAAAAATATAAAAATGTGCAGCACTTGCAGATCGCAATAACATTTTTTTCATATGTAAAACTACTTTTTCAAATTATTAAAATATTCTTAATGCACTTTGATTGTATACATTTAACATTTGTATTTAATTTTATAAAAACATAAATTATCATTTTTCCATACCATTTTGAATTTATGCCACATCTAAAAGTTTTTGAAAAATACTTTATTATCATTTTCTATACGTTTATATTTTATGTCAAAAGTCACAAGTTTTACTATTTCTAAATAAAAGCAATTTTTGCCAAATTATATATATACTAAATAAACAAACTGTGTGAGAATAAAATCGAAATAGGATACAATTTTGAATATAAATCGTGACTTTTCGATGAACTATCGCAATACATCAAACCAGGTGTGACAACAATTGTTGTGAATTTATATTACGAATTTTTTTGAAAAATTAAAATATTCTATAATTGATAATTATATAATAATTATTATATTTCTAATTCCCGCTCATATATTATGTTATACATAAAAGGTCTCAAAATTTTTAACAAAGTTTACTTTATCAAATCTCTCTGATAGCACACAATAGAATTTTTATTAAATATAAATAAAATATTTATCTCAATACTCCTTTATAATAATAATCATTTATTTGAAACTAATAATATTGATTTAATATGAAAAATATTATTGTTTGATGTAAGAAAATTCTTTTCAAAACAGAAAAATAAATATTTATTTGTATCAAATGAATGATATATATAGCAGTCTATAGAAATAAAAAAGAATATTTCTTAATTTAATAATTTTTTCAATGCGGTGATACTCTTTTATAATTATCAATTTTATTATTGGCAATATGTGAAACATTAAATATATTTTAATTGTGTAAGTAAAAATTAAATTATCATTAATTTTAATTTAAATGTCTGAGGAAATTATTAATCGATTCTTCCTTCCTTTTTACAGTATTTTATTAATGTCACAATTACGTAAATAACAATTAAAGTATTAAATCAGCCATAGATATCTATTAAAAATACGTACTATAAATTTATACACACAGACATGTGTTTAGTCTAATATTTATTTTCTTTTATGTGTAAATTATAATATTTTTAAGTTTTATAGACATTTTATTTGATATATTTTTATGGGTCGAAAATTATTTTAATATTACGATTCCTGAATTAATTAAACGTAATTATATGCGTATATTACATAGTAGCTTCCTTTTCATATTCTAATCGATGAGCTATAGAAATATTTTAAGATATTTTAATTGTTTTCTGATTCCAGTATAACGGATTCCTATCTTTTTTTGAATTATTTGTTCATGCTGCAACATTGTTGTACAAATTTAATTTTGCTAAAAAATATTCGACATTTATCATTAAGAATAATAAGAAACGATAAATAATAGAGAGGCAAATGAAGATGATTTTGTAATATTAAAACTCATCGATCGGAAGAAGCACATGTTAGACGCACACTTATTGTAAACATTAACTTGTAACAAATGTTTTAAAATATTTTCTCTTTTCTATTTTTGCTTAAATCTCTTTTAAATATAATTGTAAGTTACAATTTAGATTGACACATTTTGCAGTATTTTTAAATCTATTAAAAATATTAGCAAGGAATGTTAAATTATGATATACAATTTTAAAGATATGCAATATATTATTTTATAATATATATTAATATTAGGATTAATATTTTAT